ATTATTTCAGTCGTCTCGCTAGCACTACACTTGTTAGATTTTTCATGTGCAGAGTGCAGCTTATGTCAAAGAATCTTTATATCTATTAATTCAATCTGAGGAAATGTAGTTTGAATCACTTGATTTATAGTTCAGAGTGTAAACAATTATTATTATTATTATTATTATCATCATTTTTATCATTATTATTACTATTTTTATCATCATGAATTTCGTGGTTCTCACTTTCGATCTACATGTATTGAAAATCAGCCTGATAGGAGGGAATGGTGGACTGTAACAAAGAAATAATAGTTCAAGTTATTGTAATGAAAACTGGTTAATAGAATTTCATACTTCTGAGAGGTTTAGTGTATAACTGCAAATTTTAATGGCTCAAGGCATCAGGGAAATAAAGATGCTGCATTAAAAAATCCACATAGCTCTAACAATTCCCCCGCTTTCTCCTTTGTAGGTTATATTTGGTGGTGAGTACAGATCCAATCTTAAGGCCACTCTTCCTGAGAACAGACCATTTCTCATTGCTTAAATCTTCATCACTCATTTGATGCATTTTTCTGAATGTTTTGTCAATAAGTACTATGACAGAATGTGAATTACCTTTTGTTTATTTATAGCAAATTCTTGTGTGCTTTTGAATCACTAAAACTTTTTTTTGTCTTACTCCTTTATTTTCTCCATACCATCCTTTGTAGCACAAATATTCTCTTCTTGAACAAAAAGATGTTCATCTAGATAAAAAGTTTAGATTTGAGGTAAGTGATTTCAATTTTCTCTTTGCACGCTTACTCAATGAAACCCTATGGCATTTATTAATTTTTTTTTGAGTTACCATTGCAGGTTTTACTCAAAATCAAAGATCTGCATATAAAGTTATGGACCTCGTTTTTTCAGCTGGCATTTATAGCCCAAAGGCAAAACATGCAGACTATAAATGTGAGGGGTAAAAAAACAAAGTTCTGTAACTTACAGTAGTGACCAGGAAAACAAGATTAGTACAATATTTATTCTCAGGATTCAAATAGAGCGGAAGAAACCAAATCAAACAAATTTTTGAGTTTAGCAGGCCATACAGCCCCCTAAATTGACCAATCATTTTGCACATGTTAACTGAGAGATATAATCAGCTACATTAATGTTTGTTGTTGTGTAACTAGAAGGCAAAACATCTTGGTCATTTTGAGCAAAAACGCCCATTCAAAGATGCACATGTGCCCCCTCTGAAAAGTGACCCATTCATACCTGATTTGCATTTGAAAATTATACATAGCATCATGGTGTTACACTTGTATGCTGTATGGATTCCTTTTCCCTGTTTCTAGTTTGTGGATTTACAGTAAAAGCTTTGTATTGCATCATCCGGCGAAAGTTAATGTCAATAAAGATGGCAATGGTGCTAATATATTTGCATGTGCATTTGACTTGTCAAGAGAAGGAACAAGTGGATGCTATTTCCATGAATATATTTGGTAAGGAAGTGTGTGTTGCCTCCCCGACTAGCTTTTAAAAAAGAATGTTTTCCAATCATTTAATTAACAAGAATATTGTTAAATAGTATCGAGTCTTTCCTTTTTGTTTTATAAAGTTAACTCACCCTTGACTAACGTATAATCAATTCAGAAGTATGGCATTTGTCTTGCAAAAATTCCAAGAAAAGTAGTCTAATTTTCTAAGTAAACGTATAAAGAAATGATAAGTTAATAATAAGTTCAGTTAACTGAAAGGGACCTTAAGGCATTCACAACTACAATTGTTTCCAATAGTAAAACATTTGTTCACTAGATAAACCTTGAAGCAATAAAGAAAGGAATGATTCAGTTCTCAAATATAGAACAATATGTTGATCAAAAATGGCTATTTACATCTATCAGTCAGTCAATTGGCACTTAGATCAAACGTTAACTGTCTGTGCATATAAAATTTTTATCCCTTTTTTCCACACAACACTCTGGTCCCACACAGCACTGAAGCTGAAACTGGAGGCAAAATATGCTTTCTCTTCCTTTGCTCTGCATTGAACATGTTTAACATTTGAGTGACTTGCCTGTGTTTGGTTTATTTATTGACTGCGTTTATATTTTTTTTTTTTTGGTGTTGTGGTTTTTTCCATATTCATCATATTCTGTACAGCTGTAAATGATTCAACAGAACAAGCACTGAGAAATAAATCAAAGTGCTCTGTGAACAAACTCGTGAATTGATACATGATTTTTTAGATTATGTTTAATGTTATCTGGTTTAGGGAATTTTGTGGTTGATTGTCATATCTAGAGTACGAGCAGTAGTTCAGTGTTCGCTAATGTAGCAAAGAAACAAAGTAACGTTGGGATAAGAAGGCATTACAATTGAAATGATCATGCTATCATTTGACAAGGTGGATGATGTCGTGTGTTTTAGACGTCTATCATTTTTGTTTCTGGTTCAAACGAAAAGGTTGGAAGTAAATGTGGGTGAAAAGTGAAATTTACTGTCTTTCGTTGTAAATATTAGAAAATCAAGGCAATACTGTCTTAATGAAAACATTAACGATTCCCTCTTTATCAAATGAGACAAACGGGAACGAGTTTTGAGTGATATAACTAAGCCAAGCCTGCCACCGTCATTTTGGATCACCGCCTGGGTAGATTTAAGTCACGTGCTAGGCAAGGTATAATCAATAACAAGATGGAATTTCATTTCAGGACTATTTATCAGTTTTGTGGTGTGTAACTTTCGCATTTTAGTACGTTGTATGTATGTTGAATCTTCAAATTGTCTTGAAACTTAAAAGAAAATTGTTCTTTAAAAATTCACTGAAAATCGGTAGCTAAAATTGTTTGTTTAGGTGTTATTTGATTTTCGTGTTAACTTGTTATTTCGTCAGTCGCCGGCATCTTTTGTTGCTTCACAGAGGAAAAACACACGCGACGAAACGTAATGATCAATTTTGTCCTCAATCTCACGCTATAACAGAAAAAGCTTTTGAACATCTGTAAACTCCGAGCGCTTCGCAGTAAGTGATATTTTCAATGAATCTTCGGATTGTTTTCAAGTTCAAGGATTGTAAATTACAATTTTATGAAAAACGAAGGTTGCTCTGTTATTTCAGTGTGAATCCTTGCATGCCTGCCAGTCGCAGGCGCCGCTTGTTGAAACTAAAACGAAAAAAAAAAACTCTTTTAAGATTATCATTGGCTTCTTTTTCACCCCACCACTATTCTTAGCAACAAAGGTCGCCATTTCGTCTGTTTATTGCTCGCCAAAAACAATAAAATGCACTCAAAAGCCTAAAATCTAAAAAAAGTTTACAGGAATCGACCAATCGAGCGAGCGAGCGAGCGAATGCCATTCCCCACATCGTATCTATAACTCGCTCTTGCGCATGCGCGCAATTCACGAGTTAAAAAGAAGCTTGTACAGTAACGGATACAGTCACTGGTGTAAAAGGTATACCATGCGCCTATAAGTAATTAAATATGCAAGTCAACCAAAATTTGTTTTTTGTAACATCTATATTCTGAGCTTGTCTATTTTCTCAACTATTGCCTTGTTTATTGTTGCCTTGTTCGTTGCTATCTAGAATATGTGTAATGTAGATCATTGTAAGAGTACTCTTTTCCTTCAGCGTGTTTGCATATGTTCAGCTAGCTTTTCGATAGCTTTCTTGTTCTCTGTTTTGTTATTACTGGTCCAGTATTAGCTGGCAAGTCATTTTATGGCCGACAAACTGCCGATGATGTTGTAAAACCTGCACTATTGTCTATTATTGGTGTAGTTTCATGGCTGTACTTTAAATGCCGCAAACCTCCTTCTGATAGTTCATAGTGTATAGAGGCTGTAAAGGAGGCAGCAGCAGCCATATACGGCTCCGGCATGGAAGGTAATCATACCTCAAGCTGATTTGACATGAATGGATTCTGAAATTGCTGCGACATCTGTAACTGCATCCGCTACACTCGGTGCAGCTGCAGCGGCGGCTGAAGCAGTGGCTGTTGCTTTGGCTGCAGCTAAGACAGGTAATTGCAATGATGGAGCTGTGCTTGGGACAAATGAAACAGCTGGTCTTATTTCTGATGGAAGAGGCAAGGAAACAATTCCGCTGAACGATAGCTGAATGAATATGAAATGAATATACAAGCTACAGTGCCTCTTGTTTAAGAGTCGAAGCGATATAGAGGCGGGTTTCTCTGCCCAAGAAGCCTCACGACAGCAGCCAATTGATCGTGGACGGACAGAGCGTCGCTAAAAAGTGTAACACCTCACTTATAAGCAGATGGCTCTGGTCGGCTTGTTTTCACTAAAAAAGATCCATTTTATCAAATGTATTAACACGAGCCGACATTTTACGAAATGCTTAGTTACTTGGGAAAGGAAAATACGAGCAATGAGCAAAATATCCGCTCGTATCATATGTTAAACCATCAAAATAAGGGATTTATTATTCCGGTATTATTTCATTTTCGGGTATTTTGGCTTATAGTTTTCAAAACACATCCTACGGGTGCGAAAGACAAAAATCAACCCAATGAAGTGTTCTTCGTAAACATTAAAATACTCTGATGCCCTTAAAACAAAAAAACAAATAGAATCAAAAGAAATCCGAAAATATTCTCCCCCCCCCGAAAAAAGTCCCCCTTCCATATGGACGATATATAAACTCTGCTCACTTTACTTTTCCCCTTTCTCCATATTTTGTCTAAACAGGGATTGTTTTAACTACTTTCTCAGACCCTGGAAATATTAAAGTCGTTCCCATTGACAAACAACAACTTCTTTCTTTGGTGATAGAAAATTTTATTGGCTAATGTTATAACCTCGCTTACAAAGGTTACTCAAAAAATTGTTATAATTGAAGTTGCAATTTGTAGTCTTTTTAAAACCTACGAGTGTTTACTCATTTCAAATTGCCTAAGAAAAATCATGCCACTTCTACTTCATTTTAAAATGATCTAATTTTCGAGATAGCTTCACCTGATTATGCAGAAACAAAGAAGGGGTGATTTGATTCATTCAAACCTTGCAATTATCATTTTGCGGTTCTTACTTGGTGTAGAACACACAGTAAACGTAACAATAGAATTTCATTGCAACCGGAAATAAGAAAACAATGAAAAAAATAGTGTGACGTTTACTGTGTTTTCTACACCAAGTAAGAGCCCATTGTGCGTTTGGTCAAATCAACGTGTTTAGTCAAAGGGGAAAATTTTCGGCATGCCTTTCTTTTGTAAGCTATTGAACAGTTCGTTATCGTTTTTTCACCGAATTAACGATGTTCTGCACTGCATTAGCTCTCTTCTGCATTGGTGTTACCTGTAAACTGTATTGCAACCAATCAGAATGCAGAAATTTCTTCGTGTATTCTATTAAAAAATTTCCTCGAAAAATGAGATATTCTGTACATCGTGTGAAATGTAAAAGCCATTTACTATTATATAAAATAGTATTTAAAACCTCGACTTTAGCTCAGTACAAATGTTATCAAAACGCATTCTTAGCTTGGGACATAAACTTGTTCATAAACCTGTTCAACGTTCATATTTCCAACTTTTGCATAAAACTTCACAGCTATAATATTACATTTACGTGTTTTTTAATACAAAAATGCTATATGGTAAAAGAAAACCCATTTACTTGTGAAAAATATACATAGTCATATTAATTTCAAAACGTCTTAAATAAGGAAAAAATAAAGAGGCCGGTAACATTGCAGAAATCTTTACTTCTGTCTTCGAAATTAATGCCTTCTAGTAAAAAAAACAACCTCGTAGTTGTGAAATATTCATAACATCATATCAATTTTAAAAACGTTTAACTACATAGAAATAAAATCACCGGCAATATTGTACAGACATACACTTCAGGCTGTTATCAGAGTGTGTTCATTTTCAAAAAATCTCCAACACTGACAGTTTTTCCTGTATAGTACAAGCCACACCAGGACATCAACTACTTGACAACACCACGCAATCTGCAATCTAAGAGACAAATTCAATGAGTATTTTAGGAAGAGAAATGAAGATTCCCACGACATTTGAACAAGAACACACTGCACTAAGAGGCTGCATATCTTGGTACATCGTCTCATGCAGCCCAGAAATAACACCGCAACATAGGATTCATTCGGATCATTCATATCTTTTAAGCTTATGGCTGTGCTCTGACAGAGTCTGTCCACATGCCACTGACTTTTTTCTTCGGGTAACCTTATGTATAACTTTGATTTCATGAAAGCTTTCAAAAGCTGGATAACCAAATTCTGAGAAAAATGCCTGTATGCACACAGTGTTGAAATAAACTAGGGTAATAGAACTACTCTAAATCATTACGCCCAGCCAACACGCCACAGGAAGCCCAGGCTCAAGTGCAACTTTAACGACATAAGCTATTCAGTACCGAAACTGTTACTCAGCTCACAACTTGTAGAGATTGTAAGTAGGTCTAGTCGATAAGATATCAAATAACACACAGCCTGTTAAAAACATCAATTTGCAGCAATAGATCACTTAGTAAAAAGAATGGCTTTGAAGTTGACGGAACAAACAAATCAGTGAGTTACACTTTCAAATTAAAGAGTTAGGCAAACATAAAATAAGCTGTAAAGCTTACTTCACCAACCTGAGTTAATCATTGCCCGTTGTTGACTCACTTCTAGGCACGTGACTCAGTAGCAAGTCAAAGATATCTGAGTCCGATGATAATGCATGATGTAAAGAGTCCTTTCCATCGTTATCTTTAACCGAAGGATTGGCTCCCCTTTCAAGAAGACACTTTACACCCTGCAGCTTACCATGACGAACAGCTATGATAAGAGGTGTTTCACCATCAGCTGTTTTTGACTCAATGTCCGGCAAGTGAGTAAGGATAAGATCAATGGTATCAGGGTCACTGCCCTGTGCGGCATGATGTAACGTGTTCCATCCTCTGTTGCTTTCACAGGCTACAGTTGCCCCCTTCTCAAGAAACCATTTCACTGCATTTAATTTGCCATTCAAAGCCGCCACCATTAGTGGCGTGCAACCCTCGCCTGTTTTTGACTCAATGTTGGGCAGATGAGTATGGATTAGAGATATAACATCAGTGTCTCCGCCCTGTGCGGCATGATGTAACGTGTTCCATCCTCTTTTGTCTTCACAGGCTACAGTTGCCCCCTTCTCAAGAAACCATTTCACTGCATGTAATTCGCCCGCGAAAGCCGCCACCATAAGTGGCGTTTTACCCCTGCCTGTTTTTGACTCAATGTTGGGCAGATGAGTATGGATTAGAGATATAACATCAGTGTCTCCGCCCTGTGCGGCATGATGTAACGTGTTCCTTCCTGTTTTGTCTTCACAGGCTACAGTTGCCCCCTTCTCAAGAAACCATTTCACTGCATTTAATTTGCCACACAAAGCCGCCACCATTAGTGGCGTTTTACCCTTGCCTGTTTTTGACTCAATGTTGGGCAGATGAGTATGGATTAGAGATATAACATCAGTGTCTCCGCCCTGTGCGGCATGATGTAACGTGTTCCATCCTCTGTTGCTTTCACAGGCTACAGTTGCCCCCTTCTCAAGAAACCATTTCACTGCATGTAATTTGCCCGCCAAAGCCGCCACCATAAGTGGCGTGTAACCCTTGCCTGTTTTTGACTCAATGTTGGGCAGGTGAGTATGGATTAGAGATATAACATCAGTGTCTCCGCCAGCTGCGGCCAGATGTAACGTGTTCCTTCCTGTTTTGTCTTCACAGGCTACAGTTGCCCCCTTCTCAAGAAACCATTTCACTGCATTTAATTTTCCAGACAAAGCCGCCACCATAAGTGGCGTGTAACCCTCGCCTGTTTTTGACTCAATGTTGGGCAGGTGAGTATGGATTAGAGATATAACATCAGTGTCTCCGCCAGCTGCGGCCTGATGTAACGTGTTCCCTCCTGTTTTGTCTTCACAGGCTACAGTTGCCCCCTTCTCAAGAAACCATTTCACTGCATGTAATTTGCCAGTGAAAGCCGCCACCATAAGTGGCGTGTAACCCTCGCCTGTTTTTGACTCAATGTTGGGCAGGTGAGTATGGATTAGAGATATAACATCAGTGTCTCCGCCCTGTGCGGCATGATGTAACGTGTTCCATCCTCTTTTGCTTTCACAGGCTACAGTTGCCCCCTTCTCAAGAAACCATTTCACTGCATGTAATTTGCCAGTGAAAGCCGCCACCATAAGTGGCGTGTAACCCTCGCCTGTTTTTGACTCAATGTTGGGCAGGTGAGTATGGATTAGAGATATAATATCAGTGTCTCCGCCAGCTGCGGCATGATATAACGTGTTACTTCCTGCTTTGTCTTCACAGGCTACAGTTGCCCCCTTCTCAAGAAACCATTTCACTGCATGTAATTTGCCCGCCAAAGCCGCGACCATAAGTGGCGTGTAACCCTCGCCTGTTTTTGACTCAATGTTGGGCAGGCGAGTATGGATTAGAGATATAACATCACTGTCTCCGCCAGCTGCGGCATGATGTAACGTGTTGAATCCTCTGTTGTCCATCAGGGACGGATCTGCTCCCCTTTTCATTATACTCTTCACCGCTTGAACGTTGCCATTCAAAGCAGCATTCATTAGCGGCGTTCTGCCTCTTGCGTTCCTGAAGTCAACAGAAAATCCAGGAGGAAGCGTCAATTTCATCTCAGTGACGTTACTGTCTCTTTCAGCAGAGTGTAACTGATTCAATTCCTTGTTGTCCTCGCTCACAGAAGTGCCGCCTAAAATCATATAATGTGAAAGGAAATTAAGATTGGCATCAAACTCCAAGGAGGATGTAGAGACATGAGATATATTTTGGAACTAGCGACGTTAGGAGGAAAATTAAGTAACAAGAAAATTTGTAACAATAACAATTATAGTAATTTTAATTATGATAATAATAATGACTGATAGGTATAATTGCTCCGGTGACAATAGAGATGCATGCCCTCTGGTTGGTCAAAGATTGCGTCATATCTCGCTAAAATCACCTCGCGCGAGGAGATTATATCCTTTCAAACTTCTACTGGAAAATGGTTGCTTATCTCGATTTGTAACACATTTTTATGAACAAAAGTCCCAAGAACTCGTTAACAAAACGCCTAAAGCAAAGTCTCGATTTGATTGAATTTCAGTTGACGTACGCGTTACAGACAGGATATGAAAATTATGTTCTATGACTTTAAATCATTAATTTTCAGCATTTGCTGACCAGCTATGTTCTTGGTATTAAAGTTTATTGACAGTTATGAAAAAATCATATCGTGGCAGGCTTTGTTGTGCTTTACAACTTACCCAATTTTCTGTCTAAAAACAAATTTGTGCCCCTTCTTGCTAGAAGAGGCTCTAAATTAAGATGTTGTGAGAAATTACACGTTGGTCAACATTGGGTATTAAAGGAATGAAACCAAACAAATGGAATACCACTGTTACACAATATGAGTACAAAGTCTAATATCCGTACTGCCCATCCCTTCTTTTCCGTAATTTCCTGCTCTTTATTGATCTACATTTATCTTCCCCCCCCCTCCCCCACCCATCCCTTCACATTTGCCAATTCCAAAATAGGCTCAGGCAAGACTCAAATTTTAAACACATTTACTATATTTAGTGCTAACTATAAGTATAAGTAAGAGAATCGTTTGTCTCCTTTTAGCTTCATTGAAAAAGGCATTGGAGCGACGAGAAATTTGTAGAAAAGGGATACATGGAAAACATTATTGATATGTTCGATCCATTTGTGCTGGATGACATGTAAGCAAACGTGAATACATGTAAATAGCTCTTCTTTGATCACCATTGTTCTATGTTTGAGAACTAACTCATTTCCTCTCAAATAGTGCTTTAATTAATTAAGTGCTACCAGTATTTCCGTACATATCCCTTTTAAGTTGAAAATAAAGCAGAAATACCAGAAACTGTTAAAGAAATACTACATATATTATATAGCTTCATCCCAATCAGCAATTACTGGTACACGAAGGTCTTTGCTTCGCCACATTCAATAACTTTACATGCATTTCCTCCAATAAGCACCCAGGCACGAATTATTTCAAGTTGTGGTTAAAATAAGGGGCGCTTATTAAAAGCAAGTCGCTTAATCCAGGTGGTGTTTTAATATGAAACGATAAACTGTTCTGATTTGACCGTAGTTGACGCTTTATAAAGTTGTAAATAGAGTGGAAATAGAATCAGGTTTTCCATCTATTTTGGACAGTGAGAGAGAAGGGGATGATGATTATTAAATAGGGGGAAGGGGGGGTGTCAGTGTTCTTGTTTGATAAGTTGGCCTAGCTCACAAAAGTTCCACCTAAAAATCAAACAATTTGAAAAGAAATTAAGAAAGGCAAAATTATGCAAGAAGGGTGTAGAAAGGGGAGAGTTGTAACACAACTAGTAACTTTAAGGGGGAAATTAAGACCGAGAAAACGTTTCAGTTATAGAACTGTAACCAATGTGGACCTTGTTAGACAGAAATTTCTTATTTAGTTGAATTGCAAATCGACATACACCCGTCTTGATCTTATGTTAGAGATTTTTCACCAAGACTGATAGTAATCCGCTGTATTGTTGTCTAAACGTGCGGTCGAAGCTTGGTCGATATTAATTGTGTCAATTGTGTCAAGTTTTGGCCGTTGGCCATCACTTTGGTATTCAGTCAAGTTGTTCTATTTCACGTTTGGTAATCAAAAATAGTCCCAACTGCTCGTTAACTACACAGCTAAAGCGAAGCCTCGAATAGGTTTGTTTTCAATTCCTCAAAGTGTTACAGACAGGATATGAAAGTTATGCTACAGAAAAGAATTTCTTCAAAGCCCTGGCATTTTGGAAAACTTTCATAGTTCAGTCACTTTCTATGACATCTGAATCACTACGTATAAGTATTCACCGACCAGCCTTATTCTTTGTATTAGAATTTATTAATAGTTATAATTAACCCTTTACACCCTAATATCAATATGCATATTCTCCATACTTTCTCTACACATTTCTTAAGGTTCTGAAAAAGAGAATTTGTTTAACAATCAAGAGCTTCTTCTTGTCGATCATTTCCCTTATTCTCATGACCTTAATGTTTGAATCAGGGGTGATCTTGTAAGGAGAAAATAGATGCCAGTCACTCTTAGGTGTTAAAGGGTTAAATGACATGCGTTGTAAAGTTTACTCACCTTGAACAGACTTTGTTTGTTCATTCCCATCAATTCTTTTTCTCTTTAAAGAGGTGTTTGGAGCTTTTTCTGTGGAGAAAGAAGAGAAATATCACATTATATGGAATGCCACCTAGTTTGGAAACCTGCAAACAGACTTCCATTTAGGAGACAAGAAAAAAGTAGAAATGATGGATGTCTTAACGTCCGTTGTGCTCTCTCACTTCCACATTGTTTCAATGTTACTTTCTGTCCTTAAAATCAATCTTGCCCCTTTTTGCAAGAGGAGGCTTTAAATGACAATGTTATGAGAAAATATATATTGATCAATTTTGGGTATTAAAGGGATTAAACCAAAGCGACAAAATAGGAATGTAATATAAAGTAAGAGGAAAAAGTCTAATATCCCTGAGGAGTCCCAGTCCCTCCCCTATAGTCCTCCCTTGTTGTTTTATCCAGGATGTTCTCCCCAATCCCCTTCCCCCTTCATATTTCATATTGGTTGAAATACATAAATTGCTGATAGGCACGTGGTGTCTTCCTTCTACAACTGTACCTGTTGCTGTCCAAACTTCTTTTGTATTTCTCTGTGCTTGTTTTGTTGAAACATATGCAGCTGCACCTGCAACAATGGGTTTAGGTCAAGAGACATTTTAATACTCCAATGTAAACCAAGCAGTTACATGTTCAAAAGCCACACATAAAACTCACAACCCCAAATGCACATATTATTATTAGATCATAAATAGTGCACTCATTGGAATTAGTTCATGTGCATATGCATATATTCCCAGCTTATAGATATGATCCAGTAATTTATGCCTGCATATACTTCCAACAGCATTTTGTCACAGTACCTTAATCTCATGAATATAAAAAAATACAAATTATGCAGTCATTAAATGAACCAAACACAGGTTAGGACTCAAATGTTTAACATGTTTAGTATATCAGTGCTAAATAGAAGTAAGAGAATATTTTGCCTCCCTTCACCTTCATTGAAAAAGTCAGAAGAGTGAGAAGTGTTGTGGAAGAAATAGTAACATTAATAAATTAATATTGTATATAATATAATAAACATCAATATTGTTTGATCCAACTGCTAAATGACCCATAAGCCAACAAGAATACTACAAGTAAATTAAGCTCTTCTTTGATCACCAATTATATCATTTTTTGGTGAGAACTAACTCATATCCTTCTTCATTACTTCAAGGCTTTATCTACATACTCAATCTATTTCCAGTGTTCACTCAAATAGTGCTTTGATTAATAAGTGTTGGGATAATAAAGTTCTACAGGTATTTCCATACATTTCCTCATGAGTTGAAACTTAAAAGCAGGAACAGTTTTTCAGAAGTTTTTCATACACTGAACAGCTATCAGCAATTACACAAAGGTCTTTACTTCACCAAATTTAAAAGTTTCAGATATTCCATTTCCTTGAATAGGCACCCAGGCGTGAATTATTTCAAGTTTTGGCTAAAAGGAGGGGCACTTAGTGGAAGGAAGTCGCTTAATCAACTGTGTTGTTTTGTAAGAAACTATAGGCTATACTGATTTGGCTTTAGTTGAAGTTTAAAAGGTTTTAAATTAATTGGTAATAGAATCAGATTTTTTTTTATTTAGGACAGTAAGAGAGAAGAGGAGGGTGATTATTTGATGGGGGGGTGCTCTTGTTTGACATAATGGTCTAGAGTGGGGTGCTAATCTCAGAGCATGGGGTGCCACTTTTACAAGGAAATACAGTAATTGACCACAGTCTTGATGCTGATATTCCTAACATTACAGCAATGAAAAGTTGATTTCCCAGATTTCTTTTAATTTTGTTAAGAACTTTTCTGTGGCATACCGGATTTACTGATTTATCCCTCGTAATTCTCCTGACAGTTACAGTCTAATTAGAATATTCCTAAATGTAACATGCAATGTAAACTTTACAGACCTTGTACAGACTCTCCTTTTTTATTCCCCTCTGTTTCTTCACAGTTTAGGGAGCTGTGTAGAGCTTTACCTATACAGTAAGGAGAAAAAATAATTTCTATCTGCAGTTCAGCCAAATTAAGCTCCTCAGGAAAGTGTCATAAGTAATCACAGAATGCCCTCCTAGGAGGAGAGTTAATATTAAAACTACTGTACTGTACTAGTACTGTACCACTAAATGTTTTGGTTACTAATAAAAATAATATTACTGACCCCTCTCACTTTCTTCCAGCATTTCCTGCATTTTGATTTTGTCTGTCCTTCTGAATTTGCAGGCAATTGATTGCAAAAATCCACTTAACAAGTTCTTCTTTGTCTCTTCAGTTTTTAATACATTCTGCTTAGCTGTTTATTTAATTTGAAGAAAATGAAACATTTATTAACTCAAGTTTCTGCTCAAAATTATAGTGAACTTATCAATTGTTAATCAGCCAATATCTGCAGACTTCAAGACAAACCTTCAACAACATTTAAGCATTGAATGTTAGAGTTACAGCACTATTTTACAACTCTACTCTCTGACTGTCAGAGATCTGTTGTACAGTTCAAACAATATCATGCAGGCTTATTTTTCAGAAAAGAGCAAAATTTGGGCATAACCTGCAATGTTACATGTTCATTCACCCACCTGGTGCAGACTCACTTTCTTCCCTTCCATCTCTTTTCCCAACTTCTGAGCCACTGTGTGGAAGATTGCCTACAGAAAGGGAAGAGCAATATTTATTGGATCAGCTGATATCATAGCAAGCAAGCAATTTTATTTATTATCTGCCAATCAATCTGCCAATCATTTAAAAGCTTCCACATCTCCCCCTTCCCCCTTGGGCAACCCAAGTGCAAATGCCCAGGGGGTTGCCTGAGGGTTGCCTGTGGGAAGGATGATAAAGTTTTGAATTGATGGCACATGACTGTTTGCAAAATTTCTGGAAATAATGAAAATGAATAAAGCTACTGAAAATTAATTTTAAATATTTTCAGGATACCATCTTTCTTTCCATAAGAACCCATGAGGGTGGGAGGGGGGGAATAACTGGAAGGATGGTACTTAATGGGATGAAATTCAAATGTTGCACTGAACACAACCCAATATTTACCCAAACTGATGCCATTACATGATGATTACATGAGGAAGTTTCTAGTTTATTACAAATGAATTATTTTGATCTGCAAAATGAATGTAGTAAATTGGGCATGAATGTAGTAAATTGTAGTTTAAAAGGCCATTTTAAGATTCAATCAGGTTTTAAAAACTTTGCTCATTAAAAGTTAGAAGAATGAAAAGTGTTGTGGAAGAAAGAGTAAGACAAGCACTAACATATTGATATTGTTTGATCCAAATGCTAAATGACCCATAAGCCAACACCAATATTGCAAGTAAATTAAGCTCTTCTTTGATTACCAATCATAAAAATATCATCTTTTTGCAACAACTAACCTACATCCTTTGTCATTACTTGAAGGATTTATCCACATTCTAAATCTCTTTCTGGAGTTTACTCAAATAGTGCTTTGATTGATAAGTGTTCAGATAATAAAGTTCTACACATATTTCCATACATTTCCTTATAAGTTGAAAGTCAAGTAGAAACAGTTTCAAAAGTTCTACATACACTAAATAGCTTCATCCCAATCAGCAGTTACACAAAGGTCTTTGCTTTACCAAATTTAGTAGTTTTAGAAACATAAATTTCTTATTTAGTTTAAGCTCTTCTTTGATTACCAATTAAATCATTTTTGAGAACTAACTCATTTCCTTCTTCATTGCTTCAAGGCTTTATCTACACACTCAATCTCTTTCTGGAGTTTACTCAAATAGTGCTTTTATAAGTGTTGGGATAATAAAGTTCTACAGGTATTTCAACACATTTCCCTATAAGTTGAAAGCAAAGCAAGAATATATACAGAAGTTCTACATACATTAAATAGTGTCCAGGTGCGAATTATTTAAAGTTTTGGTTAGAAGGAGGGGCACTTAGTGGAAGGAAGTTGCTTAATCGAGGAGGGTGTTTTAGTAAGAATTAAATTATAAACTGTACTTATTTAGCAGTTAAGTTGAAGCTTAATTTAGTCATCAATAAAGTGGTAACAGAATCAGGTTTTCCTTTTATTTAGGAAAGTGGGAGAGAAGCAGAAGTGATAATTCAGCTTGTTTGATATAATGGCCTCGGGGGAGGGCACTTCTTAGAACGTGAGCACTAACATGAGGAAATACAGTAGTTGGTCATAGTATTAGACTGGAAGATGCTGTGGCATACTTGCTGTTTAGTTGAAGAAAATTAACTAGTCTAAGGAAATTATTCCCTGACGTTTCTGCTCCAGTTTCTGAAGACAAGAGCTTGGGATGCCTGTGCTCGCAGCTGTTATAGAAAACACTCCTTCACAGGAGTTTTTTGTTTACCTAAAGGATCCTGCAAGTAGACAAATATTACATACCTGCTGCTTGCACTACTCCCTCGTCTCCCTGTGTTTGTCCTCTTGTTTCACTTGAAGTGTCTAAAGCTGCATAGAATGAAAACACTGAAGTTATGATCATGACCTTCTTTAAGTACTATCAATGAGGATTTTAGGTCAGTGAAAATGAAAGAGGTTTTCTATTGTTAGCATTGATTGGAAATGGTCATCTCAGAGTACTTGGTATATATTAAGATATATATATTATTATAATTATTATAATATATATTATTATATTAAGACCGAAACTAGAATATCTTAATCAATTTTAAAGAGCTTTAAATTTTCTTATAACTTAAGTGCAGAAAACTATATAGTTAAGTCGCTGTAGACTCGGTACACAAAATAAAGAAAAAGCTGGCTTTTTTCACCTGTTGGATGACAGTATGAGCAATCAAAATTATCCCTGGGTTCCAGCTGATTAATTAGAATTATGTATAACTAATAATATTTTAAAAAGGCAATTAATATACATACCTGCTGCTTGAACTTTTTTCTTGTCTCCCTTTGTTTTTTCTCTTGTTTTATTTGAGGTGTCTTGATTTGCAGCGAAAACTGAATTAAGATAGTCATAAATTGCAACGCATACAACTCTATAATATATAATAGCCCTATGCAGCCATTTTTCTTTTTTTATTAACTGTTTTCATTGTTTTGTACAATTTAGAATTCCTTGGATCATTTCACTGCTACAAAAATGTTGGATTGGTAGAATATTTGTTCAATAAAATTGAACAACAAGCTGATGTTGGGTTTCCAAGAAAATGTCGCCTCAAGGAACTATTAAAATCATGCATACTGAATGATAACTGCTGTATGTTAACTCAGAATAATTCTTAAATAGTTTTAAACAGCTTGTAGTTTTCATATCACACAATTCTGCTGAAAGCAGGCAGCTGTTTACTGTTCACAAACCAAAGGAAAAAAATTACTGTCTCCATCTGTGGTCAAAATAATTAAATCATATCCTCATATTGATGAAGAGCATATGCAAATATCCTCACTTAATTGGGTCTACAAAAGGTACAATAACAAGAAAAAATTTGCATTTTTTTTGTGGCATTCTACAAAATGAGTTAAATATATGTACCTTCCCCTTGCCCACCTGTCCTTCTTTCTCTTGTTTGTTCTGCTGTTTTGTCTGACGTGTCTGGATCTTATATACAGGACAAAATACAAAAGTAATGAATTTAAATATCTGTAAGGTTGAGGATAGGAATAAGAATTTTTCAGTTTAAACATTGACACCTGAACCACCCATAACTGCCCATGCCATGTGGTGGACAAGAAATAATCCAATATTTTCAAGTCTAATTTTCCGTACCTTTCTGATTATGTTAGACCTTCTAGAACACAAAATGAAAAGTAAAGATGCTATAAAATACTCTGCCTGGAAAATAATAAACATCCAGGTCTTAAAAGCAGTAAAATAAGTTTTTGAGTCAACAACACTACGATTCCATTAAGATGCAAATTGAGGCAGTGTAGAGTGAAAACAAAGGACTTCAAGCAAGGCCTAATGACATTTTGAAGGTTCTAAGGCTTAGTAAATATTGTGTTTGAGTAAAGAGATGTCAAAAAAGTATTGTTTAATAGAAGATTTTGTGTCAAAACATAGAACTTTCAGAATTTTTAACATAATGCTGTGCAACATAACAGAAAATATCAGCAGACTTCTATACAATCCTTCAACAACACTTAAGCATTAAATGTTACAGTAGTATTTCGTAACTGCACCCTCTGAGTGTCAGAGAACTGTTTTACAGTTCAAACAATATCATGCAGGCTAATTTTTCAGAAAAGAACCAAATGAGGGCATAACCTGCAATGTTACATGTTCATTCACCCACCTGGTGTAGACTCACTTTCTTCCCTTCCATCTCTTTCCCCAACTTCTGAGCCGCTGTGTGGAAGATCACCTACAGAAAGTGAGGAGAAATATTTATCAGATAATACAGTATCATTGCAAGCAAACATATTTATTTATTATCTACCAACCATTTTTAAGCTTCAACATCTCCCTCCTCCTTCCTATGCAGCCCACATACAAATGTCTGGGAGGTTGCCTAAGATGTTACCTGTGGGAAGGATGCTGAAGCTTTTAATTGATGGCACATAATGGTTTGCAAAATTTTAAATGACACAATTCTTAACTTATGTCACAGAATTGTTACAATAATGTGTATGCTGTAAAAAAATTCACGAAAATCTCAACTTTTGTAAATAATATGAATTCTTTAGAGCAGCTAGTATCCTTCCCAGCAAATATTGCTTATTGTTCAAGGATTTCACAAACATTATACAAAACTTACCAGTTCCTGTGAAAACCTCCTTCCTTTGTGTTTGTTCTTTATCGTTTGAACTGCATGGAGCCTTTTCTAGAAATAAAGAAAATGAATAAAGCCACTTGAAATTAATTTTAAATTTTAGGATACCGTGCTTCCTCCAATAAGTGCCCATGGGGGTTTGAAGGAGAAATTACCAGAAGGATGGTGCTTACTGGGACGAATTAAAAACAACAGATAACACACATAACCCTTTCACCCCTGAGAGTGACTAGCATCTAATTTCTCCTTACCATATCACCCCCAAAATCACACATAAAGGTCACAAGAACAAATGAAATTATCACCATCAATTGAAGCTCTAGATTATAAAACAAATTCTCCTCGTCATCCCTTAGGAAATGTATTGAGAACAATATGGAGAACAATATGGAGAACATGTCAGCTGATGTTGGGGTGTAACAAATTAAGGGACTCTGCAATCACATGGAGATAGGAATAACTGAATGGAAAAGAAACTATTCTCCTGCACTGATTGAAGTTTAGAAAGTTATAAATGAAGTGGCAATAGAAACAGGTTGTCATTGTACACCTACTATTTTAAAAGTGAGGAAGGAGGGGGGGGGGCAGTTATTGGAGGGGTTGCTCGTTTGAAATTATGGTCTAGGTGGTGCATACTTATTTGGGGGAGGGCACTTATTAGAACATGGGCACTTATTCAAGGAAATATGGTAAGTCATCTTGGAAAAAAATATCTTAAATGAGTAATCTCTCTCTTGATTATTTTTTCAAAAATAATTGTAAGGGCATCAATAAGTAGCAACCTTCATTCACCAAAAACAAGAATTAGAGACAGTTCCTGATCATCTAATAGCTTAGCACAGGAAAGTAAAACAATTGTTTCCTTTACAAAGGAAAAAATCTTTCTTGTGGAAGTCAGTAGCTATAATTCTCACAGTGCAAATATTCTTTGAAATTAAAATCGACTTTTGGTTATAGTTGCTAAAGCAAACCTGTGAATACAGTCTCCTTACGAGTGGGACTGGGAGCCAACTGCAAAATCATCTTCATAAACCTTTCACATTCCTCCTTCCAGTGGTACCTCTTCCCATAATTCTCTCTTAGATGCAGGGCAGAGGCATACCTCTCATCTGGTGTTTGCTGTGATAGCTCTTGGATTTTTTTTGCCCATTCCTCTGGTGAAGCTGATGGGATGACCACAGCCATCCCACCATCCACAGTTTGAAGGGCTTTGGCTATACCACATTCCCTAGAGACCAGTACAGGCACACCAGCTGATATGGCCTCTAGGGCCACCAGCCCGAAGCCCTCGGTGCGGGATGGCATCACAACTACATCCGCTTGACGAAACATCTCTCTCATTTCTTCGTAATTACAAAAGCCTCTGATGGTTAGTTGATTCCGTGTTATTTTCGTTTCCTCCAGGAACCATTTTTCAATCTTCCGTTGTTGATCTTGTGGTGCACCAACAAAAGTGAGCTCGAATTTTCTTTCCAGTGAAGCTACAGCCTTACCGATTATATCGTATCCTTTCAGTTCAAAGTCCTCAAAGCTTCCACGACCGAACATGAAGATGCGAAACTCATCTTCTCCTGATGATTCAAATTTATTCGATTTCCTTGCTGTTGGATTGACATACTTTTCGAAAATCCCCGGAGTAATGACTTCTACTTTGAAATCTGGCAGACTTCTTTGATATTTTCCTTGTAGTAGGGAGCCTACTGCAACGACTGAGTCAGATGCTTTGCAGAGCTCCAGTTCTCGTTTGTTCTTCGCTTCGTTATCTGCAATTGCATCGGCCGTAACGCTGCATTCCAGCTTGTACTTTCCAAGGTCCTCGCAAAACACATGCACAAAGTGTATCCACTTACAGCCTGTTATTCGTCGAATGGAATAAGCCGCACCACCAAACTTTCTACCGTGGCCAACGACGATGTCAGGATTGGGAAGCTCTGATGGCGGAAATCGAATCCATTCAAGTGGATCACTAGATCCAGGAGGGCGCTGTGCTGTGATTAAATGGATTCCATTGCTGCTCGCATCTTGTCGTTCTTCTTCTGTGCTTTGGCAAACAAAGCAGTGAACCCTGATTCTTTCTTTCGAATACTTCGCTAGATTCACAGCAAGTTCCCTGTTAAACGTTGATAATCCACCTTTCGAGGAGCCCCACTCGCTACAGATGAACATGACATCAACACACTGATCTACAATTACTTCTGCGCTACAAGATGCTTTGCCCTTGAGGTCTTCACTTTTCCCTTTATCTTTCACAGAATTTGCATTGGGTGCATTCAAGGATCCTCTTTCCATCTCAAAGCTTTTCACTACAACAACAAAACAAGAATAGTATTGAAAATTAGCTGTAAAACAATAATAAATCATAATAAGGCATGCCCACTTGATATGTAATGTCAATTCTTTTGTAAACTTGCAGTTAAGTTTTATCCTTTTCCAAAAAGTCAGGTACATGTAGATTGAGACAAATTTGAACCAGGAAAATATTAAGTTGTTTTAGAGATGACTACACTAGCACTGTCACTGATAACAACCATTACAGTCACAACTGTACAAGGAATTAAATTCATAAATTATCCTTAAAGGGTCTTCCTTTTCAACTCACTTTGAAATTGGTATACATGTAGTCTCACTGAGGAAATTTAGGAAAAAAGAAAACAAGGGGGCAGATGAATGTTTTTGTCAAAAATATCAAAGCTTGGTATTTTTTATAGATTTAGATCTCTCTTCCTACCTTTTGTAGCATTGACATCACAGGAAGCTTTAATTTTGAAAAATCACCCACGGAAAAAAACAATACAGAATGTGAGTTCAATGAGTCCAATTAGGCTTTCTACTTCCTCTTAGAGTGTTGTTGAGACCTGACTTCAGGCAGAACTGGAGGCTAACTTGACCTTTTTGGGAAGCTTTCATTTCCTCATATATTAAAGATCATTGTTTAAATTGCCTATTTGCAAAATTTGACAATTGGAAAATGGCCCATTTTCGAAATGAGAAGTTGTGTTTCCAAAGACAAATCTTGCAACAAATAGAGATAAGATCCTGGTCTAATAGTGTTTACCATTCATGCTGTATTTCCTTTAGATGACATTTCTAACGCATCCATTTCATAAGTAACCATTTCATCACGAAAAACAAAGTGCTATATCTTACCATGGATGAAACTTAGAAAAGAGATCCACAATAGCTAACTATTTATACTTTCCAAGCAACAAAAACACATATATTTTTGCTAGCCTTTTTAGTCTAAAATGCTTTCATGATATTTCCAATTTTCGAAAGGCATCTCAACCATAAAGCAAGCCAATAAGTACACATTTAATTTTTTCAAACCATGTTAGATTGAATGTTGCTATTATCAAATTCCCACACCTTTTTATATTTTTGTGATTCCTATTGCCACATTTTGCAAATTAATTGCCACTGCAACTGTATTATCTCAAGAAGGTTGATACTTTTGATCAGAATCTCTGCAAACTAAAATTTTTGCTTGATGAGGAACATTTACAGCACAGTATGCTACTGTTTGCCAAAAATTTTCCAAATGACAAGGTATGGGATGGTTAAATTGTCCAAATCAAATATTACGTGGCAGATTGCACTGAAAATCTTTATTACCATCTGCGTTTTTGTGTTCTAAACCATTTTGAGTAGTATTAATTAAAAATGGCTTGGGTTTAGAGACGTTTTTTCTGCAAAATGGCCTTTCAAATACACCCCCTAATTCCATTAAATTCCACCAATTCCATGGAACTGAGCAAGATAATTTTCTCTTCAGATTGTGTGTAGAATCATATATATCCCATGTGATAATTTCAAGTCATTCTAACAACTCTGCCAGTAAATATTTCATTAATGATTTGAGACAAAATTCACTCAATTTAGTGTCCAGTACCACCTTAATTTGGTATTGAAAATGTACCTTAACCCATTAGCACCTGCGTGTAACGTGTGCTTATCCAAAAGTTAAAATTTTGGAGAAACCGGAAAGGCGAACACAATGCGCAGTAAATTTTTATAATTCAAGTTCACACGGCAACCAGGTTGACAATCAGACATGGCTTGATGCTACTCTAGTTTACAGATTTAATGAATGCTACCGAAGAAATTACGATTCATAGACCCAACATTCGCCCGTCTCTGCTGTCATTGCTAACATGGTAATGGAAGACGTGGAGCAAAGGGCCTTAGCCACTTCACCGCTTAAACCCGTTTTCTGGAAACGATATGTCGATGTTGTTATTACTGCGGTATCCGGAAATGAAGCGGAGCGCCTCCTGTCGCATTTGAATTTAGTAGAGCCGTCGATCCAATTCACTCTTGAGCGTGAAAAGGATAGACATTTGCCCTTTCTTGATTTAAATGTGTCCAGAGGGTTCAGGGTAATTTAGAGACAAGTGTCTGTCGTAAACTTGCCCACACCGACAAATACCTTGCTTTCGATTCTGACCACCCTATTTGCCATGAAAAGTCTGTATCCAAAACTTTACTCAGGAGGGCTGCCTGTCCACCATCTTCACTCGATTCCAAGGCTGAGGAGAGGAAATGTGTTTCTAATGTCCTAAAGGCAAATGGCTATACAAAAACCTTTCTCCGTAACTGCCAAAAACCGGTTACAACGAGCAACACTTCTGATGAAAGGGAACCAGCGACTGGTTTTGCTGTTATTCCTCACATTCAGGGTGTTACGGAACCCATTAAGAGAATTTTGAATAGCCACAACGTTAAAGTTGCTCAAAAACCTTTTCAGACTTTAGGGCATATTTTCGCCAAACCTAAGGATCCTGTCACGAAAGAACAACATACTGACGCCATTTATTTTATTCTTTGCAATACCGTGACAACGAATACATCGGACAGACCAAACGTCAGTTTGGTACACCTTTGAAAGAGCATCAAAAAGCGGTTTTCTTTTGCAAAAAGGAAAATTCAGCTTTATTGGAGTACACATGCCTAAATAACCATACAATTGGGTGGGATAATTCAAAAATTATCACCACTAATCGGCGTTACCACCAGCGCCTTTGTTTGGAGGCTTGGCATATTAACTCCGCCCGCGCTCCTTTAAATCGTGACGACGGCGGCTCGCTTCCTGACGCCTATTTACACCTCGTCAGAAAAAAGGCAGCTAATTAGTGATTATATAAAAAGACCTCTTGATGCAGCGTTTAGATCACCCCTGATGAAGGCACTAGACAGGAGTGTCGAAACGCTGGGTCTATGAATCGTAACTTCTTCGGTTACATTCATTAAATCTGTGAAAGCATCAAACCATGTCCAAATTTTTATAAATCATCATTTCCCATAAACAAGCTTCAGTGAAAGAAGACCATTCAAATAACTTACTTTCAACGAATAAAGCGATAGAAGCATGTTAAGTTTTTACGCTAAAATCAAGACAAAAGATTAAAATCGATAAATTTTTTCGCACGTGTGCAAACAAGTATGCAGATCGGATTTTAAAGTGAATATGCAAATTTGGCAGTGTGTGGAGAGATTTCAAGTTACATGGAATTTGTAAAGAGAAAGCAAGATGAAACTGACCAAGGAACGTTTCGGGAAGAAAGTTTAATTCAAAATAGTTCTTGGTTTTCTGTTAGAAGCGAAAAACGTGCGAATTTCTTACGTGTACAAAACCCACGAAGTAGAATTAATCATGCGTAGATGACGTTGTTTACTTGACTTCACGGCTAGTAAATTGCGCAGCGTTTTGTTAAAAATTCTGAAAGTTCTACGTTTTGACAAAATCTACGAGTAAACATTACTTTTTGGACATCTCATCACTTTAACATGATATTTACCGGGCTCTGGAATCTTCATAATTGTCGCCAGGCCTCGCTTGAAGTTCGAAAGTTCGGTTTCACATTACAACCCCAATTCGCATCGCTTCAGAGAGTCGTAGTGTTGTCGACTCGGAAGCTTATTTTGTCGATTTTAAGACCTTGATATCCATTATTTTCGAAGCAGATCATTCTATAGTATTTCTACTTTTCATTTTGTGTTCCAGAAGGTTTAAAATAATCGGAAAGCAACGGAAAATCCGACTTGAAAATATTGAAAGTAGGCCGCGCGGACAACATTTTTTCATATTTAACCATTTCTTACGAACGCATAAAATAACACCTTTCTAGTACCCCCCATCAAAATAACTGGGAAAAACACGAATTTTGATTGGTTTATAGATCCTCTAACAATAGGGGAAGTTTAAAGACAAAATTCTACTTTGTAGGGGAGGTAGGGGAGAAAACGTCTCTCGCGCGACACGGGCGGTTACGGGCAGTTCAGGTATCAAGTAAATTGGTGATTTCAAACAAGTTCCCAAAGCTGACGTTTACCGATTCAATCCAAAGTAAATAAAAAATCAGCAATGTGAAAGATGAGAAAAAGTTACGAACAAGATCGACAAAGAGGGAACTTTAAATGCACGAATCCATGTTAAGAAAAGCCTCCTTTCATCAAATTCCGAAAATTATGTTACAAAGTGCATGATTAAATAACTCGATTGAACTAAAAAATATTTACATATGAGCCCTTTCTGAATTCGGAGAGTCACATGACCAGTGACCAGGTAACTTTCTTGAGGCAGGAAGAGAAAAAGGACCCTGGAAACAAGGTTGGGTCTTCATTCCCGTAAAGAGATCTAATCACAATTTTTAATAAGATGTTTCATTCGAGACATTTTGGTTTGAAAATATCCTAAGATATGTGTGCTAACAATCAAAGTTTGTGACACAACCCAGAAGTTAAATTACTCTACCTTCTACTTCAGGAGTGAGTTTCTGATTATGGAAAATAAATCCATATTTTAAATGAACGAGTTATCCTCTACAGATGTCATCATGGTATGTTAAAAATGAGATTTAAATTTGCATTTGAAACACATCTCTCATGCGTGAATTACAAAGCATTTCAACTAACGAAATTCCACAATCCTTAAATTAAAGTGTTCCACAGACAACGGATACCGCAAGTTATTCGGACAAGTGGACCGAAAACGTACACAATTCATGGTACCCGTTTTTTCGCACCATCTCGCCTATAACACCTGACAGTTGTAAACACATGCAATGCAACGAAGGCACAGACGATGCAAATTCAGGGTAAACACGCACATCAAGTCACACCTCTAAAGTGCATTAAATTGAGAAAGTATAACAAAATTATATACATCTCTAATTGACTGGACTTCTTCGGATGAAGTAACCTTGAGTTGACGAAGAAGAAGAGCTTTACGCGAGTTTCCAGCCGTCGCAAACGTTGCAAACTCAGCACGTTTGCAAGGCGCCACGAACGCTGGGAATCTGAGATTTCAAATTTGCATGTTTTCTCACGATAAATAGCTTAAAGACGACCTACATGTAGACATTTAAAGATATCACGAGGATCTTAATACCTGAAAGTGGCATCGAACAGGTCCTGAAATGTACAGAAATAGTAATTTCCCCAATCACATACCTTTGAGTGCTGAAGCACCTGTAAACTGTTACTGATTATTGCCACTGGTTTCCACTGCTAAAAGTCTCTAAAAGGAATGACAACAACTTCGCCGGTGAACCAATCACTAAAAGACATGATTACGAGCTGAAGAAATATGGAACTCAACCCAAGATTGACACAAACGCTCCCTCGCCAGGAAGTCAGCTCAGTGACTGATAAACCTTCCGCATTGATTGTGAGAGGAAATATCGCTATGGGTGGGTGTGCAATCATAGATTAATTTGGTCACATGATTAATTTACCAGAATGGCGCAGTCAGTGGACTACGGGACGGTGGATTAGAGAGTATGCCTGACAACGTCCTTCGGGGGTTAAATGGGTACGATACTGAAATGCGGTTAAATGATAACTTACAAATACCGACACCCATTCGATAATATTACAACAAAATGGAACGGACAATTCATCTTTATTATAGAGAATTACTCATGAAAGTGGGAGTTATAATTTGGTTATCTGCTGTATACTGCATGTCTGGAGGTAATTTCCTCATTTCGTGCATCTTTCAATTTTTTTTTCTAAAATATCTATAAGCAAAGCATTTGATAAGGTGTGGCATGCTGGTTTGTTATGTAAGTTAGAGGTTCTAGGGGTACAGACGCTCTTACTTTAATTGTTTGAAAGTTATTTGCTTAACCGAAAGCAACGGGTAGTTCAGTATGGAAGAGCAATCCTCTGATTTGCGAACAGTCAACTGCGGAGTCCCTCAAGAGTCTTTGATAGGACCGCTTCTATTTTTTTATTTATATCAATGATATTACTGGTGATCTCACCTCTCTTCCTCTGATTTATGCCGATGATACTACACTGTTCACGAGCTAGCCGTCTCAACTGGTTGCCTAATTTCTTATCTAAATAAGATCTCCGGGTGGGCTGACAAATGGTTGGTAGCTATGAATCCTGTTAAACCTCTCAATGTTGTATTTTCTCTCAAGCGTAATATACAAGATCACCCGCCTCTATTTCTTGACACCAAGGTCGTCAAAGACGTTGAGTCTCACACTCACTTAAGCCTAACTTTGCAGAGTAATATGTGTTGGAGAAATCATATAGTTAAGATGTACAAGAAAGCCTCTAAACGATTAAATATGCTGAAATTTGTTAAATACAAAGTTGACAGATCCACCTCAACATGCTTGTACAAAACCCTGATTAGACCTCTTATCGAATATGGGGATGTTATCGGGAACAACTGTCATAATCGTGATTCAGCTTTACTGGATAATGTTCGATACTAAGCCACTGGGGTGGTGACAGGAGCCATTAAGGGAACCAGCTCTGCGAGGTGTCATAATGAACTTGCTCGGGAGCCTCTTTGTACCAGGAGAGAATGACATAAACTAAGCCAATTTTGCAAAATAGTCAAGAATATCTTGCTCCACGTTATTTAACTGAACTATTTCCCAAACTATCTAACGAACGTACAAATTTTCGTCTCAGATCAAGAGAAAACTTCACTCAACTTCGAACTGTAGAACCTCTACGTTTTAAAAGTCTTTTTTTCCATCAGCAATCATTGGCTAGAATTTTCTGGACCTAGATGTCCGAAACTCTGTATCTCTTCCCACTTTTAAAGCGAAAACTCGATCAATTCTCTTTCTGCATACTTACAATAGGTTATATGATTGTTCTTTTACAAGGCGTGCATCTGTTGATCACACCCGCCTTAGACTTGGGTTTTATTGTCCAACAGAATATCTCGTCAAAATAAATAGTTGTCGTGTCGCTTATTTGCGAGTGCAGTTTTGACTCTGAATCGTTGAAACACTTTTTCTTGTATTGCCCATGGTATGCCGCTCAACTTAATGTTCTCCTTACCTCTGCTGCTAAAATTCTAGGTGAAACGTGGTAATCGAGTAGAGTTGCTAGGAAACTAATTTTTTATTGTATGGTGTGGAGTCTGTAAATTGCGAAATCAACTGTGCTTTGTTTCACGAAGTACAAAGTTTTATAATTAACACTAATCGCTTCACTGAGGCCAATGTTTGATTGTTTCAATACTAGATATTCCTAGCTTAGTAGGTTTAACTCGTTTTTATTGCAACTTATATGTGTTGTTTATGCATGTGTGTGTGTGTTTTAGGAGGGGAGAATCTCTGTATTTGGAGTCCTTTGTCTTGTTTGCCCAGCAAACCAAAGGCTACCGAGGATGCATAAACAATTGTCCCAGTTTTTCTCGTGTTCTTCAGAACATGGAAAGCAAGGAGGTCAAATTTGACTGTATCTCCCGTTAAATCAGGGGCCAGTTTTTCGAACGTCCCGGTTACTCAAAAAGCCCAATGCCATATTTCTAAGTTAAATTTAAAGATTAGATAAGTAGACTTTAGAATCTTAACCAGTCCATTTTGTTTCTTTAGCTGATAGTTTTATTGTAGAATTTTCAAAACTTTTTAAACTCCTTTCTTGAAAGAAAACAGAACAGCTTTTCGGGCCCGTTAAGGTTCCGGAACTTTCAAAGCTTCAGGTGTGAATTTTAGAAAAATTCACGCATCACGTGTACTCTTTACAGAATTTCATGCGCATGCGTCACGAGTTTTTTCAGGAAAGCTCAGATCTCACCTTACCTTCTGTTAACATCACGCGTTACATGTTAATTTTGGGCTTAATCACGCGTCACTTGTTTTAAAAGTTTATGCCACCCTCTTTAAACAGGTGAAAGGAAATCCTTAATTTACACCCCCGCCAACAAGGTCTAACTTTATTCTACTTACGTAAGATTGATGGCTAAAACTTTTAGCCGGATTTTCCCTTTTAGACGAGAGAAACCAGAAACGTATACCCAGTTTATATTATATTGTCTTGCCTTTATTGATGTTATCAAAGGAGAGAGGCAAGGTCTCAATGAAGTTAAAAGTTAGCCGTAAAATGGTCAAAAAATTTAACCGTTTGGCATAGAAGTTGACAAATTTTAACCGTTGTCGTGAAAAAAAAGATTATCCGTAAAAATTTCTCCCATTTTCGATGTATAATTTTGAATGTGTCAAAATCTTGGACTTTTATGTGTCTCGTCTTATGGCCATTGCACGTAAACACAAAATTACTCTGTTGTGTTTTAGAACGATGAAAATTAATTATTAATCTTTTCAAAATGATTAAAATGAATTGTTAATATTTCGGTTAATCGTAGCAGAAAGAAATAAACCGTTCGCCGTAAAAGCCTTAACTCAATTATGATCCTCTATTCAATGCAAGTGTTAATTTGGTGTTGGGTACAATAGCTATTTTGACAAAGCGAGAGAAACAATTCTGCAGGCGCGCAGATAACAGATTTTCCCCTCTATTTCAAACAGCTTTACGTCAACTTTTCATTTCGGCTGCCAAAATGAAATTTATTTTCTATGACTACAAAAGAAAAAAAAACGAAAAACCACATACTCTCTCCGGATTTCAAAACAAAAATGCTCAGGAACTCTTCATTTTCTGTTTAAATTCAAACTGCGCCGACTTTGCTTAATTGAAATTTTCTTCCAAAAATACTAAATTATTCCTCTGTGATTAATGAAAGACCACGATACGGAAGCTCAAATCTGGTACATAACGATCGGTAGGAAATTCATTAGTTGCTCCTTAGCCTGTTTCCTGTCAGCGTTTTCCTTTTTGTTTTATTTTGCTGTTTTTAATTTTTTTTTTTCACTTCCAAGATCTCATTAGTAATTATCCTTTCTGTGTGTCATACAACTGTTATGATGATTTAAATGAAAATGATGAGTTTACATGAAAGAAGATGTCATTCATTTAATGACATTGGCATACTCGTAGAAGGAGAACTCCAAGAACTAGGAGTCGTCACAGACGTAGTTAAACAACCTAGCTCAGCGGTCTTGGTAGAGAATCGATGGATGTACGTTCGACTCTTATCGGGAACACTCGGAGGTTTTTCTCCTCCGAGTGTGCTTGTGTCATCCACTAATTAACATCTTTTCGGCACAATTCTTCTGATATTAGTTCGGAGAATTTTGTATTGGATCAACTAATACTCCCCTTATTTTTATCTTTTCTATTCTTATCGCTTTTCTGTTTGATATCTTAGGGATATTGTAAGCAGAAATTCAGTCTTGGCCACTTGAAGACGAAAACACCATCTCTTCATCAAAATTGATTTACTCGGAATAAGCTGCGAGTTTATTAACAGCATCATCACGTTGTAACAATTAGCAATCATGGTTTTCTCGCAAGTCCTTGCCGGTGTTCATGCTGTCATCGACCTTGTCGGCCTTCCTGGAAATTTACTGGTCATAGCAACGATTTGTATGGAGAGCAGATTTCATGCGATGCGGTATGTTCTACTTGCCAGCCTAGCAGGATCAGATATTCTCTTTTTGATCCTGGGCAACTCGCCGAGCATCGCAAGTATTGCCCAAGAACGTTGGTTGTATGGCGAAACAATGTGTAAACTACATTACCTTGTTTTAAGATATTTCTACTTGAATACGGTTCTTCATCTCGTGGCTGTGTCATACGAACGGTATAACGCCATTGTGAAATCACCTCTGACGTATGATAGTTCCATTACTAGATCAAAAGTCGTGGTTATAGTGCTGATATGGACTGTCCCTGTTCTTGTGTGTACCATCATTTTTTTCAAACATGGAGGAACCTTACTTTATTATCCAAAGCTGTTCTTTTGCAAGGCAGCTACAGATGCTCCCGCGTTTCATGCTCCCGCTCCATTAATCGTGTTTGTTGTGCCTATTTCAATAATCTTTTTCCTGAACTGGAGACTTTTAAAAACAGTAAACGCCATCCAGTCTAACGATCAACCAGTCGTATTTTTGGAAAGCACAGCTGCAAGTTCTAACAATGGTCCAAGCCAGCACCAACAAAATGAGGCGAGAAGAATCAAAGATCGGAAGGCAGCTTTCGATGTCTGCATCATAATAGCAGCGTTTGTGATCTGTTTTCTTCCTGAGTGGACCGATTTCGTTCTTCGTAATTACTTTACGGTAGAATTTCCACCCGAAGTTACGCAAACCACGCGTTGTATATACTACATTAGTTCTGTGACCAATCCAATCATTTATTCTGTTCGCAAGAGGGAATTTCGCGGTGGAGTTAAAAGAACGCTTAAGCGAATTGGTGGACTGTGTGCCGTTTTATTTCCTTCTGGTACGGACAACGCAGTTGGTGCGCATGGATTACGGCAAACCCCCACAGGAATCCCTTCAATTGTTGAATCAAGAGCTGCACAGGTTGCCCAACAAAAAGACTCTCTTGATTCTCGGACTTTGAATGTTCCTAAAAGAATTGAAATGAATTTCCAGAGGTGCCATCATCCAACTGAAGAAATCGCTGAATGAATTGAACACTACAACCCACGCTTTCTTACCTTTATGATTTTTTAAGAAGTCTCTCTTAGAGGCAGAAAGAGAATTGTAATTTGTACTTTTTAGCCAAGTGGGAAGGCCAAACGGGAAAATGTTTAGCTTGACGTTAAAGTTCTGTGTTTTCAAAGACAAGAGCTCATTTCCAAATTTTTTATGATACGCTGACCACATACTGTGATATGATTGGTGCGAAATACATTCCCCAATGTGCCGATCTAACAACATTCCACTCGATACGCTGTCATAGTTGATATTATTATTATAATTTTTTTGGAAAATAAATAACTTAAAGGTATTCTACTGTAAAAAAATTTCCTCTTTATTTTGAGTCAGAACACGAAACGCAGAATTCACCGAAAAACGAGACTGGTTTTCTCCTTTCCGTTTTCTCCTACGTTCAAATCCATAATTAGAATTCTTGTTTTTGGAAAAAAATAAACAACAGGGAACGAATTTAGGGCCAGACGGCTTTTATCAGACCGGTTTACGTCAACCTGTCCGGCCCTACACCCATAGGCTTTCATTACGGTGTTCCTTGGGATTACGTGGGCGAGTGGGCTACTCTAAGACTGAAAAACAAAGTGCATTTATCAGAAGCCAGAGGAGCTACTTCAAACTTTTTTTTTCACTCTTTCTCTTTAAAAATCAATAAGTACGTATTGGACCTTCGTCACCGTACATTGAAAAGTGCGACTAAATTTAAACTCTCTCTGGGCTAAAGTTACAGCTCAATGAAATCAACGTGGGTTAATTTGTGTCCTTTCTTATCTCCATGGATCTACAAGAGATTGCTCTTACACAACCATTGTGTATAGACAACATAAATTCATTCATTTCCTTTAATTTTGGTACTTTTTTAATGAGGAGTTTCACTGTGGCTACAAGAATCTCACTATAATGGATGTCACTAATTTGACCCATGTAACCAAAATGAAATCGAGAACAAATCAAGTGAAATATTTTATTTCACCTTAGACTATCCCACATAACATTTGAATTTTTAAAATATGTACTAAATTCCTCTCTCCTGGGTTGAAAAAAGAATATGTTTAAAATGCAATATATAGGGATCACATCAATCAATCAGATACCCTGATCTATTTAAACCTAAGATCAGTGTGCATATTTTCCATACTGTTTTCTCTACATTTCCTATGGTACTGACACAGAGAATGTGTTCAACAATCCAGAGCTTTTCTTGTAGATGATCATTTCATTGATTCTCATGCCCTTAATATTTTATTCAACAGTGATACAGTAAGAAGAAGTAACATGTAAATCACTCTTAGGTGTTGAAGGTGTAAACCACAGAAAAATTAAAGTCACAAGAAATTCAGCAATGAAATCAAACTTTTACTACAGACTGAGCCAGGTAAGTTCAACAAGAAACCTACGGCTGACATATCTTATGATGAGCCCACTTGATAGATATTTACAACACAACAAACACCACACCTGTCCTGCCTAGCCACAAATTATATTTCAAAGGAAAAGAGTTTTTCCTTAAGCCATTTCATCTCTTATAGCTTTACACCCCAACATCAGTATGCACATTCTCAATACTGTTCTCTATACATTTCCATAAATGCTGACAAGGA